CCGACATAACGGCCAAGGGCCTGGCAAATCTTACCACGACTCTTGACAACGCCGACAGAAATGTGTGGAAGGACGCCCTTCACGTTCCGGAGAGATCACTCATAACGGATTCAGTGTAACTTTTTCCAAAAATAGCCTACAGAAGTTATTGACCCCAAGGGAAATGTAACTGTCAGGGCGAAGAGAGCCGACGAACTGTATTATTAACAATCTCAAGACAAGAACTGCAAAAACGTTGCCAGCACTGACGACGCAATGAAGATTCCTGAGAAGACCGTGTTAAAATGGCACCGAATACTTAGTCATTGAACATCATTGAACAGGATCTACGCGAAGCAGTTAGAAAGGGAACCATCCAGCGGTTGAAGATTGATAACGTCGAGGGTGACTTCGTATGCGAGGTCTATTAGGGGAGGATGACTCGTTCACCTTTCCCAAAGACGTCGGAGAAAGAATCTTGGGTTGGTGACATACTTCACTCCGACGTGTGCTGCCCGGCACGAACGACATCACTTGAAGCAAATTCGGTACTTTCCGACGTTCATCGACCACGCATCGAAGTGGACTAAGGTCAAATTCCTTAAACAATAGTGACGTTTTAGATGAATTCGAAACTTTTAGAATTCGCCTAGAGACCCAAAAATGAGTGAAGGTCAAATTCTTCAAACTGAGAACGGAACGGAGTACATTAACAACAAATATGACGAATCCTTGAAACGTTCGGGAATTTAAAGACGACTTACTGCACCTCGCAATCAAGCAAAATGTCGTTGCAGAGCGCAAAAATTGGTTTCTGGTCGACATGGCCCGTTCTTTACTTGTAAATTCCAAGTTGTCTCCAACGTTTTGGGCAGGGTTTTATACGGCCAACTACATCAGAAACACCAGTCCCAGAAGCAAATTAAACTGAAAGACTCCGGATGATGTTCGATATGGGGTTCCACCCTACGTGACATGAATTCGGCTGTAAGGTTTGTGTCGATCGCAACAGAGAACACATTTGCACCGCGATTGAGAATTATTCTTTGGATATTCCGAAGAGATCAAAGGGTACAGCATTTAATTGGCTGTCCGGGTGACGTCGCGTCCATGGCAAAGGTGTCGACGTTTCTGCGACCTTCCTCAGCGCGTAATACGCGGTCACCCGGAATATAAAGTTTGTCGAGTCACCGTCTTGTACCACAGGAAGGAACATCAACAGCCCAAATGATATTGCTTATGAAATGGTCAAAAGTACATATGCAAAAATGGAGGCTGATCCTCGTTCGCACATTGACGTCGACTTGAATACGCCAAATGGACCTTTTTACGACAGGCAAGCAGCCTCGAAGGACTCACCAAACTCTACGACGAACGAAGAAAATGTAGAATCAGACTCCGAACTCGTTTTTCGGGGTTTTGAGCCAGAAGAGAATATGCCAGAAGATTTACACGTCCAACGGGCGACCAGTCGAAGACCAGGAAGACCGCAGGTGAAAACAGGGCAGCTCGGTAGACCTTGGAAACGGAACGAGGTAACTGTTTAGCAAGAACAAGTGGACGGATGCTACGCACTTTTGTCGGAAATTCCTCCGAGGCAAGCCAGTTTCGGGCAGAATCAACTGAGTAGATAGATGCGAACGAAATGTCATCGTTCTTGGAAAATGACACCTGGGTCATCGTGGAACGACAGAATCGCGCGGTCGTCGGAAGCAAGATTGTTACGCAACAAGTATCAGGTCGATGGTAGGCTTGAGAAGAGGGAATCGTAGCACGAGATTTTTCTCAACGTCCTGGTACAGTTTCCGAGACTTTCGCGCCTATCACGGTAATAAATCGATTCAGTTGGCTATCTCTTGCAGTACGGGACAACATGCATATCCAGCAATTCAACATATCGACAGCGTACCTCAACGGTGTCCTGGAACAGGAGGTATATCTGAAGGTACCTGAACTCACCGAGGATAAGTTTGAGATGATCATCCGGAGGGAGCGGAAGAAGCGACATCAAGGCTGAAGATATCATCGAGAAGTTGTGGAAGGGTAACAAGGTTTGTCACAAGAATAAATCACTTTGAGCCGCGTCAGGCAGCTCGGATGTGTCACAAATGTTTGGACAAGGAGCTTCGCGACTTCAGAGCATCCCTAACCTGTGTTTATATGAAGAAAAAGAATGGTATTCAACTCATCGTCGTGTATGTCGACAATACCCTAGTCATGTCGGGGAACTTGGGAGGATATCAGGACTTGCAGAGTACCTGACCAAAACGTTTGAGGTGAACGAAATTGGGGTGCTGGACTGCAACCTTGTAGCTACGCCACTGGATGTAGGTAACAAGTTAACTAACTCTAAGAAATAGAAGTTCGACAGTGATGAACCGCCATCTCGCGAGCTGGTGGGTACCCACTCGACTGGATATATCACATGTCGCCAGTGTTCTCAGCCAACATCATGATTGCTATGGCGAAAGTCACTGGGCAGCAGCCAAAAGGGTACTTCGATACCTTATGGAAACTTTGAATCCGAGCAAACCGACCTCACCTGATACGTTGATGTAGATTGGGGAGGAAGTCTAGATGATAGACGTTCATTCACAGGCTACATATTCACCAGGAAGAGGTACCTTGTACTAGGAGTCTAGAAAACAAAGAACAGTCGCACTCTCCTCGACCAAGTCAGAGCATATGGCGAGAAGCTGCTAAAGAGGTGGTCTATCTTCAGCGATTCTTGGAAGAGATAGTCATGAAAGGATCGATGCTATAAGAATTATGTGTGAGTTTAGAAATTAGCCATCAATCCAGTGTTCCGTGGACGCACCAAATAGAGACATGAAGCGACATTTTGTAGGTGAACTTTTGGAGTCCAGGAAAATAGAAGTGTAGCACTTATCCTCTTGGCACATGCCCGCAGATGTTCTCACCAAAGCTCTACCAGAACCGAAACACTTGAAGTGCTTGGAAACGACAAATACTAGATCAGTGTTTTGAATAGTTTGGGTTCATAAACTGAAATGTATATAATAATGTTTTATTTAAGGGGAAGTGTTAGGAATAAATAGAACTGCTTTTGTGGGTTGGTAGTATCTCCCATTTCTGTTGCTTTGTATACTTTGATAATCATGCCAGTTGTATGAGCGATCTCGTATTCCAAGTGTAAAGCAGTGGAATGTCCCTTTTTGACAGTGAATAGTAAAGTTATCGGTTGTGAAATTATGACTTTGAAGCAGCACTCCAGATCCACCGACATTCTTAATAGTTACAGTATTTACATGAAAATCGGTTCCCTCGTGTTAATTGTATTTTGAATGAATAAAATAGGGACAGTTAAAGTCGTCTCGTACCAATGTTTCGGTCGTCATACTGCGACCTTCCTTAGATCGAACTGCACGGAGATGAACTGCGCACGGCTTTATAAAGATTGAGGTTCTCCTCCACCCGGCTATTGGTTGGACGATTGGTCAGCGATCCCTCTGGTCACGGTGGGAGAAGTGGACCGTCCGTGGTCGAACGTCAAGAAGCAGTGGGAGCCCCGCCCTGATGAGACCGACCGATGCTGTATAAAACATATTTCCAGGCCTCGTAGAAACGTAGGCATTGATCGGCATTACTTTTGGAGATATTTAATAATTTCCATCGCCTCTTTTAGCCTCCTCGGTGCCAGCAGTCTTCCCCGGCCATATGGCGTCACCTACGTCCGACTGATAGCCGTTCGTCTAAGCAACGGAGTCGGGAGGAGGGAAACCTCACTTTTATAAAGCTGTGCACAGTCCACCTACATGAACTTCGGCTTCAGTAAAGACGCACTATGACGGACGAAATGTGGGTAACCATGCCTGAGGCAAGTTGTCTCTCGGCTACCAAGAATCTATTGACTCCCGTCGTGGAAGCCTACGCTTTCATTGCAATCTTACACTTTCATACCTTATTTACTTCACTGGACACATTTTTTTCTTTCATTTATTATTGTGATTCTTTGCTGCACAATACGCTGCTAACCACTTAAAATTATAAAGTTTCCTCCAATCCTATCCACAGAGGTGGCAGCGGCAATGATATTAGTTTTTGTTTTACACTTTTGAAATTTAATGTTTTTTTATAATCTTCATTTAAACACTATATAGCCACTCAATAGCAATCAAATAGAATACAATCTACAGACCTCATTGGTTCAATGCTGTGGTTCACCTTACTTTTTAGGTATCAAATATGGATTGCTTGATAGTCAAAGATAAAATCCGCATATTCCTAATTACAAAAATTTCTGAACAATTTTTATTCCTAGTGCTTATCACAGCTACAGATCTGACAGGTAACATTGCTTTCCTCACCCAACAAGTGTCGAAGTATCCACCGGCTAGCATACTGATTATAAATGCTGTACATCACATACTTTGAAATATCCTTGCCGATCAAAAGACAGACTCGTGATGTCACATTGAGGAGAGTAATGAATCGTGAGCAAATAAAACTAGTGCTAGTACCCGCTTCTTTTCGTCTGGAGGGACACACGGACATTCAGACCATGAATGTGTAGTTGGGTTGTAGCCAAGAGTGTGTGTATTGGAGAGTTAAGCTTCCTCCCACACCTTCAAATTCTATGAGCCTAAGAAGAAAATTTTCAAGAATATGTGTACCAAATTTCACCAAAATACAATGTCAGGTTATGAAGATTTTTTCCACCTAGACTGCCAAAATTTGACACTGTGTGGCTCCACAAATAACACCTTTCACAGCATGAATGTCATTATTCAATCCCACCAATAGCCTCACCAGCTTTTCTTTTGCCACAGACTCAAGAGATTGTGACATGCTACTGCTTTGCAGAAGCTACCAATATTTCTTACTTTTTACCAGAGTATATACCATATACACTGAAAAAATACACTGATCTCAAAAAAGAAAATATACAGATCTCAAATATGTTTTCAACTTGTAAGATTGTTCTTTTGTAGTAGTACATACCCTGAATCCCAAAAAGAAGAACTATCATCCCAAAGTCATTTAGAGAATATTATACTTACCACATCTTTCCAAGGATAAAAAACAGATAAATTTTTCAGAGACTCTGGAACAAAAATTTTCACAAATCACAAGGGTATACTACTTATAATTTTAAATATTTTTAGGTTTTCTTTGCATAGTAATTTAGGAGTGAACTTACTCATACAAAGTTCTAAATTTACATGTTCTGTTGGTTCCATACAAAATTTTTGTTTCATGTGATTTAAAATGCCTTTACTCAATGTATTATGAATGTTTTCAATATAATCAATACAATTGAGAATTTGAGCACAATTTATACAGACTGCCCCAATATCTTCAACCAACAAATCAAATTCCACAGCCACAAGCTGAACCAATTTCTGTCTCAATTGAATCTTAGAAGTTTCTGTGTATGCATTATCTGGAACAATATTTTGATTTCTACTGTTGCAAATGAAACAAGCATTTGCTTCACTTCTAGATTGAGAAGCCTCTCTTACCTGCAAAAGAAATAAATATTTAGAACACATTTGTTTCTAACAAGAGTTTCAAAAATATGCATATTACTTTCATGTCATTTACACAAACAACAAAACAGGACACTTACTAAAACACTACCAATACAGTTATGGGATATCTCCTGGACAATCAGACATCTTTTCTTTGTTTTCCTCCATCACCTCCTTTTCTCATTTACCTTGGTACAGCAAATGTCTCACAACTTTCTTATAAGTAAACTATTCAACTCTACTTCTACATAAATGTTCTCTTAGAATGAATACATTTATCAGAAAACACACAATGCATACCCCATTTTTTGAATATGATGCTTGAGAAACATTATTTGAATAATCCTTAATTAACAAACTAGCATGATTTTCTATTTCTTTTTTAGATTATGTAGTTTTCTGTAGTCAAAAGTATTCTATTGGAAATGGATTCTATTGAGATTTATGTACTGTGTGAGAGAGAACCATGCAGAGGATACATTTCCGTCCTTTTCTTCTCTTTTATCTTTCTCAATGTTTATTTCCAATAGCTTCTGAGTGTTTATTTTTGAGAGAGAAAAAAATTGATTGAAACACTCATTTTAAACAGTTCTATTTCATTTTACATTTTCAAAAATGAATCAATAGCTATTATATTTCAGATTGAACACTTGTAAATTTCAAAGTTTCATACTTTCTATTAACAAGGTATTGTCTTTGGAAGTGTATGAAGTGACAAAGTACTATACTTTTCTTCAGATTACTTTTCTTTTGGTTTCTGTCTATATCTACTTTTTCCTTATATTGAAAACATGATTAATGGAAAAATGGATTTTAAAAAACATTTCTTCAAGGACATTCTTAAATTAACATTTATTAATTTGGAACTGGGTATATTTGCTGCTATAAAGGATTACTTTTAGTTAATTAACCCATCAATGCACTTAAGGGCCTCGGAATCCCCCTGACTTCTTTTTATCACTAATTTTCTTACATTTTACTTGTGGCTAAGAATATTTCTTGACACCTAATACTAACATTTTTGTGATTAATAGCACAAGGAAAGTAAACGGAAACTATTCAGTTTTTAGAAAACTATCTTTTTCCGTAGGTAGATTTTCCACTTAAGGGGTCTGAAATGCTCCCATTGTTCTGTGGCCTAGTTGAAGGTATTTCTATGAGGAACAATGTGCAGAGTTCGATAATGGACTACGACAATGACATCCCTCTATACATCTACTCTACGACACCATCACTTTTGAGTTAGCAGATGTTCAATACAAAATTCAGTTTTGTTTCTGCCACAAGTGGGAACACGTTCCTAGTGTAAATTGTGCGGGAAGTGGCAATCATAAAAAATTAATCTTCCTTCAATGAATATGAGCGAAATATTGTATTAAGAAGAGCTTGATTATATACTCTAGGGAATTATTTTTCAGTGAAAGAAGTGATCTGTTTTTTACAGCAACAATGAATATTCATAGTTTTTAAGACATTCAAAGGTGCATGCACTTTGATAACAAGCAACCATCGGTGTTCTTTCAGAACATAAATGTGGAATAAGGGCCTGTTTCACTAGTGCCTGCTAAAGTTCCGAATACTAATTTGACAGATATTTTATCCATCAGATAAAAGTGCCTGATATTGATTTTGCGATTCACCCAGGTCTTTCTTGTTAAAATATCTGACAGATATCTTTCTGATAAATAATCTGGCTGATTGCTCTTTCACCGGCATTGCCAGCATCATTTTCGAGTCAAACATGATCTGTGCGTGCGAATTCGCATGTGTTTTGGTAATGGAAGTGTCAGGCGTTTCTCGCTTCATTTGTTATTTTGTGTTGCAGTTTACTTTGATTGAGCTGTGTGCGAGTTCGGTGTAAACATTTGTTTTATTGCATCGTACTTTGTATGTGTAGGAGTTTGAAAATGGAAAGGGGAAAGAAGCAAGAAAGAGGAGTTAATTTTACACGTGAGGAAACAAACTTGTATCCCTCGCGGAAACAAAAAATATTATTAAATGTCTTAAATATCTTAAATAAAAATATGAAGCTCTGAAGAGAAATAAAGAAAATCTTATTATAACTGTTCAAAGTTTTTATTTTTTGTTGTTTTTTTTAAACAAAATTATAATGGAAATAATGCTCATGAAAAATGACTGATTCTGAAATCATAACTTGAGTAAGGCAAAGAATTAAGGGCATTAGAAAGGGAAGGTGGGCTTCTGCCACTAAGTTCTCACACTTAATTGCAGAATTATTTATAAATCTAATCTATCTATTACAATTTTTGTCATGATTGTGGAGGATATTATTGGAAATACATTCTTTAATTTTCATTGCCTATTTCTCATAAATTACTCAATATTGAGACTTTTCTCCAATGACCAGCCTATTATATAATATAAAAATAAATTTCTAAATACTATTCACTCCCTGAACAGAATTTTAGAGTGTATAATTTACAATTAAATTAAGAAAATAATAATAAAAGTAAGAAATAAAAATAAAAGTCAGAGTAAATTGTCTTAAACATCTCAACAGAATAAAGTCCAACAAGAGGATTAAAATTCTCTGTGGGAAGCCTCATCAAACGAGAGTGATCTATTTTAAATACTAACAACACTAAAACAAATTTTGTACAAAAACTCTAGTTTAGGAAAGGTTAAACAGATAAAAATATGAGAAAAAATTTGATTGTCACTTGAATAATAATAATTATTCAAGTATTCTTTTGCTTTTTAACAATCATGAAAATGTTTTTCTTAAAAAAAAAAATATTTTTATAATACAAAGAATATTGTCATAAATGTTTGTGAAATGATTTGATTGAAATTAATTTTGGATAATGGACCCAGAAAATATTCTAGAATAATCTCCTTAAAGTGAGGATGTATATGTATTTTCTCTTGATTTTTTAATGAATTTTGTTGCTTATTTTTACGTAACATTTATTTTTAATTCTTTTATTTTACTCGCTATCTTCAAAATTTGTTGAGATTTATTTTTTTTATTTTCAGACGGATCATGTCAATTAGGTCCATGAGTGTAATTGACACATCATATCGGTGTGTTGGACAATAAAGATTTCTTATGAAGAAAAAAAAATCATTGATTCTTAAAAAAGAAAAGGATATTTGTGTTTAATTAATTTATTAAGAAACATTTCATAAAGATAGTTCACAAGACAGTCACTATGTAGAGTAGAACACCATGAAATCGTGTGAGTGTATAGGAACATATGTGCACTCTATTGCTGCAAGAACTCTAGAAAATCTAGCAATTTCATAAAAATCTTCTTGGGCAATTTCTATATTCCTTGGAAGCTTCACGAACTCACTACACTTAAAGCAGTTAATTGCTCACCTCAATGAAGACTCAAATTACAATAAAAAATGATTCTGTTGCAAAATAACGAGTGAGAAGTAAGTTCATTGGCGATACCTCAGAATTACTAACAAAACAAAGTATACATTTTATTATTTTGATATAAAATGAATTTAAAAGAACCCTTACTTTACCAGAACACAACAGAAATATAAGTCGGTATTCACAAATTTTTTATTTTCTGTTCTACCAAAGACATAGCTTCGCTAACCAAAGGCTTCGCTAACCAAAGGCTTCGTTAACCTAAAATGGGATTTGCAATTTTGATCGTCGAGGTTCTCAAAATATTCTGGCCGTCATGTCGTCTGGTCAGACGCTTTGAACCATCAAAGAATTCATTGTCTATCATCTCTATTACGTTGTCCATCATGGAAATACCACAGTTATTCCTTAAAAATCACAGTAAGTTCACACATAAATTCTGTTATTTTGGAGTTATCAGTCAGATAAACATTTAACAGCCTCTCCTACCTCCAGATTGTTTACCCGATACTTTAACCACTGGATAGAATTATCAGGCACTCGTAAAACACAAAATTTCAACATACAAGTAACATAACTTTTGGATAGGCTATCAGACACTTTATCAGGCCCTAAGCCTGCCAAATATGGCTACAAATATTCTGGGAGAATTGAATGGTAGCTTATACAGACAAAAGGATGAGTGCTTGGCTAAAGATTTGGCAGCAAATGTGGTGAGAGAACAGACCCAACCCTTGAGGAATAGAGGATACAACATTACTGTGAATAATTTTTTTTCATGACACTCATAGCGGAGATCTTGTTACCAAAAAACTTCCATTGCTAAGAACTTTATATGAAAAACAAAACAAGATTCCTGCTGCTAGTGTGTCTGCTCATACCAATAATTTGACTGTATTCCAAAGCAAAAGGAAAGTTATTTTCATGCCTAGATCCATACAACACAATAAGAATTTATTGATCTTCAAACCAGAAATATTATATAACAAAGGAGTAGATATGATGGATCAGATGTTTGATGACTACACATCACGATGTTAAATGTGCTGATTGCTAATGCATCTGTTATACAATACACATTGCAGCACTGAATAAACACATTGTATACACAAGATGCCCAAAAACTACAATGAAAATGTCAGTTGGTGGCGATGGATTTTCCTAAAAGAACTAGCCAAAAACTTGCAAAACGAGACAAAATGAAGGATTAAAAATCCCAAAACACATAAGAGAACATTGAACTGTTTAAATGTTTTTAGAATCCATAAAACTGTAGCTATAGGAGCCAGCAATAGAACTCCAAAGAAATAAGTTAAAGATAAGTGAGTATTCAAATTAAATATTATTATAAATATAAAGAAACATATTGGTTTATTATTCTTTAGGTATAATTTCCCGTTATTTATGATGGTACAAAATGAACAAAAAAGTAAAAGTGTTTGTACAAAATGTGTAAGAAATATTTGAGGAGAACACTTAAAATATTTTTTTAGTTGCAATAACTGCAAATAAAAATAACATCATAATTGAAGACATGCAGTTGTAAACTACACAATGAAATAACATACCATTATCTTAAAGTCTACTAAAAAATACTTCAATATTCCCATCATGCCTTGTAATTTTTGGAAAGGCTCTCAGAGGCCCCTTAAGTGTTTAAGTGTAATATTCTTTTTCGGTTCATCGACGGGTTAAGATTGACTTACATTTGAAACACTTGGCAAGACATCTAGAGACATGGAAATATTTTCATCATTCTTCCTTAGGCTAGGTTTTTTGTAATCCAGGTTTCTGGTTAGTACTCTGCAAAGTAATTATATCCATCATTTTTCGGCTTTATTTGATATCATTTTCCTCCTTTAATACGAATGTTCCTATTTGGGAACATCATTATTGTGACTCAACGTGTTTGTTAGCATGTCTTTTATAATTTTTCAGTCACTTCTGAAACGCAACTATTACAATTTTTATGTGTGATTATTTGCTTGGAAAATAATTTGTATCTTCACTATGTCAATATATAACAAACTTCCATTTCAATTCTTTCCAAAACTTCACATACAATTTTCTGAGTTACTTTTGAATAATTTTTATTGTAAATACTCAATTTCTCTTCATAATGCTCAATGTACTTGAAAATTGACATTTTACAAAATATTATCAAAGTAGATCCCTATTATTCTGAGAGACAATCTGAGCTTGTAAGTCCTACCATGTACATATATTATGGGCATTCTTTTCGGGATATAAGAAAGAAGCTTATAAGTAGAGATTCAGGCTCTTATTTGACCTAAAAGAGGCAAGCAAAAAGGCATGTAAACAATGAAAACTCATATGGAAAAGGAATTGTAAAAAATTAATATTATTCAAGCTAAATTATTATCATTATTGTTATCATTCTTCTTCTTCTTATTATTATTATTAATTCCCCGTGACCATGCAATATGTTGGCTATGAATTTTCTTTTTTTTGCGATGCTATCTCTTCAACATGCTATTGTGAACTCTCTTTTGAATCTTGAAATGCCATCAGTGAAAATGAAATTTTATTTTTTGTTGATTCTTCACACTTGTTTTGCCCACACTGAGAAGGCATTTTGCCAAAATTTCTACTCAGGAATTTACTACTCCTACTTAGGGCTCTACTTATTAGTTTTTCTAACTAAAGTAGCAACTAGCCATATACTAGGAGATCCAGGTTTTATTCCCGGCTGGGGCAGTCAATTGCTTGAACAGTCAAAGATTGTTCATTACTTCATGCTCAGTAGCCAAGAGTCACATTGGTAGTAAACAAAATAGGATACATTCCCATGTAATTGTTAAAACTTACACCTGTAATGGGATGGTAAAATTTAAAACGTAACCACATGTAAGAGCCAAAATATTGATTGCAGAAGTATTTTTATCCCTTCCAGTAAGAGTCAGAAGCAGGGGCGAATCCAGCTGATCATTGGGGGGTTAAATAATAAACACGTTAGTTATTATATTGCATATTCTTCATGAACTGTAGATATAATACTTTACAATATTATTGTTTAAATAATTACATAATTTAAAAAAATTAATATTTAAATCAATTTTGACAAATAAAGGAAGTTAAACAAAAACTCTAGGCCTTGGGGGGTTGGACGGCATGGCCCCCATGCACCCCTCCTTCCGGATACACCAGTGGTCAGATGTCACAATGATAAATTATCTCAAGATGCAATAATAATCTCATATTGAAGGTTTTCCTTCTGTGGAATTTACCAGTGTATCTGTGAAAGATAAAAATTTGCAGCCTGCCTTTCCCGGGTATTGTCTTGTAGAAGACATTTACACGTTCCGTCTCAGTTGAGAGCTCATTCATGCTAAAGTCATCATATTTGGGCAAACAGGAAATGAGAACTGTACTTGATAACATGCAAGGCTCTTTCCCTTAAGACGTGATGATCTTCCTTATCATTTTGTAAACAAGGGAATATTAGTGATGAAGATATAGTTTGTACCATTAACTATTATTGCCCCAGAACTGGGTATGTTTGCTGTTAAAAAGAATTACTTTAATTTAATTAAGATGCACTTACTTTTGAAACACTAGGCGAGACATCCATAGACATGGTAGTGGTATTTTTATTATTCTTCCTTTGCCTCGGGTTTGTTTGTAAACCTAGTCTCCGGTTAGTATTCTATAAAGAAATAATATCCATCATCTTTCACAATTCGCTATAATTTCTGTCTTTAAATACCAATATTCCCATTTGGGAACATTCTTATTAAGACTCAAAATGTTTGCATGCATGTGTCTTCTTCAGATTTTTCAGTTGTTTCAAAGAAACTATTACTATTTCTATAGGCGATTATTTGCTTTAAAAAGAACTCGCATCTTTGGCAAGGAAATTTATAAAGAACATATATTTGTACTCAGTAAGGCTTCAAATATTCTCTTCCGAGATACACTTGAAACAATTATTATTCTAAATATTCATAATTATTCACACAATGATTTATACAGATGAAAATTAATATTTTGCATCAAATAATTACAGTACATTCCTGTTATTTTAAGACACAATATAGGCTGTTCAGACCCAGTGTAATAATTATGGGGATATTTTCTGGCATGTGAGCGACCTCCTTATGACTTTTTTCCACATATAGTACAAAAAATATAGCTTCCAGAATAATGTTTCCCCTACCAGAAAGAGCTAGAAATCACAATGATCAATTACCCCACAATGCATGACTGGTGACATGGATTTTATTCCCAAGCATCCCTTTCAAAGGCTGCATTCTTGCTTTGTAATTTACTGAGCTCATCAGTGAAAGTTGAAAAATCTCCTGCCATTTCTCTTCAGTATTGTTTTCTAAAAGGCACTTAGATATGCCATGCCAGAATTGAGAAACAACACCTCTCCCTCCATCTCTCTCTCTTCCCTCACTCACTCACACAGACACACACGGTTCATCATCTTAAGGCTATGTGTGATCCCTAGAATTTTGAAAACATGGAAACATTGGTGGAAAAATGGTTTAAAAGAGCAATTTCGTTACCAATATTTCATTTACATACAATTAACATTTATTCGCTCAGAAGAAGGCATGCTGCTACAATAGTTTACTTTAATTTAATTAAATTTTACTTACTTTTGAAATTCTTGGTGAGACATCCATAGACATGGTAATATTATTTTTATCATTCTTCCTTTGCTTAGTGTCTTTTTGTAATCCTGGTTTCAGGTTAGTATTCTGCAAAGAAATTATATCCATCATCACTCACAAATATTCAATATCATTTTCCTCTTTTAATGTCAATGTTTCCATTTGGAAACATTATTATTGTGTGTTCTTTTTCATGTTTTTACAGTTATATCTGAAAAGAAACTATTACTATTTTTATAGGTAATTATTTGCTTTGAAAATATTTTTTATACTCTAAATACTTGTAATTTTTCTAAACAATGCTTTATACAGATGAAAATTCATATCTTACAGGATATAATTACAGTAGGCCCTTTATTATTATTATTATTATTATTATTATTATTATTATTATTATTATTATTATTATTACTACTACTACTAGGGACAATATGGGCTGTTAAGATCTGATGTACAAATTATGGGTATTTTTTTCCTGGCATTTAAGAGACCCACTTATCAATTTTTTTCACCTTTATTTCAGAAAACATTTTTTCCAGAGTATTTTCTCCTCTACCAGTAACAAACAAGTTACAGTAATAAATTATCACATGCTACATGTGTTGTGACTTTTTGGTTTTACTTTCAAGCACCATTCACGAAAGCTGAATAAAAAGATTCCTTCTGTGGAATTTATAATTTCATTTGTGCAAGGTAAGAATCTTTGCTGCTTTCCTTGGGTATTGTTTTGTAGAAGCCACTAAGTCGTGCTATCTCCATCAAGAGCTCATTCAAGCTTAGGTCGTAATGTTCAAGTAAGCAGCAAGTGAGAACTGTAGATTACAAGGTGCGAGGGTCATCTCAAGGCAGGTGTACTTTGTATTAATCTTTTCACCTGAGAGATGATACTGTTGTTTAATTGGCTGGTGAGCAGGGCTGTTTTAGCGGTATATGACATTTCTTTTAGAGATACAAAATTTTTTGAGGATTCTAATAATCATGACATAAAAAATAAGTTAATGTATACATGGAATAATCTTGAGAAAATACGTCATGTTGAGATCGGTAGAAATGGAAGAATCTTACATAAAAATATATGAACATCTGATATCATTTCCCACTTATACAAGCTTATCAGAGACAAAAATCTATGTTCTCAGATGTGTCTTACAATGATGTTCTACTATACCTCATCAGCAATGTTAAATTCTATGAAATTCCAAAGTAAAAGAAGGGGATAATAAGACATTGCTTTACATGAGCAGATTTAACAAACCTGAGTACATCATTCTCAGAGGTACAAGGTTTCTTTGTTTGTTGGGTTGGTCAGTGCACAATCAACTGTTCAAACAGCAGAGATGATTTTTTTTGGATTCAAGATCTGGATATTATCTTCCAGTTAGGACACCCATACTACATGAACACATGAACAGGAATGGAACAAGATTGAAGCCAATGCTGGCAACATAAAAAAAAATACCCCAATGATGTATATTATATTCGCTTATTGGTCTGCTGTATTGAAAGCCAAGTTTGAACATGGTGGCCTTGACAAGTTGTTTGCAAAAGACATCTTTTCAACCAAAAGCTGGTACTGAATGTGAGCTTACTTAACACATATTGAAAACACATATATTCTATTTAAAATGAATTATTTTTCTTCTTTCTCTACACAGAAGAAGGCAGTTTACGTTGAAAGAACTCAAAGCAAAATAAAAATAAATTAATAGATGCATAATATATGTCAAAATGAAAACGCAGACATTACAGGAAAATCCTATTAGGGTCAATGAAAAAGAGTACATAACATGGAATATTTAACACAAATCATAAGTTTTTATTTGCAGAAAAGAGTTGATTGTACAAACTACTGTCTCCTGAAAGCAATTTTGTTTACCAGAACTTGATACACACTTTTGTGTCTTCTGTTAGAATAAGAGCCTGCTATTGTCTAATAAAATTCATTCTGACATTAAAATCAAATAAAGATCTCAGCAATTCAAAATAACAACAAATTTTCTTCAAAATCATCATCAAAGCAGTATTTATGAGATATCATGCTTAGAAATAGCTCTCACGCCTTTTTAATGGGCATATGCTAACTTCCAAAGCTTCTTGAGATGCAAGCAATTCTTGAGATGATTACAACTTGTTTGCAGAGCAATTACCCCTAAGCCGAGTTTCTGATGCATAACACAAATATCTTTTGATGGTTGTGATAAGCCACCAAAATTCTTCATTACAATGAGGTTAGAATGCCAAGTGTCAGAGGGATAAAGAACAATGTCAATATGTTGTGGCCAATTATCTTTTCCTAGAATGAATTTCCTAACAAGCCAGTGATAATTTTCTTTAGAACTGGATGAGAATATTTTTGACATCCCTTAAATGATCTGTAACTGAAATGACTATTAAGTGATGATATTTGCAAATTATTCAACATTTGCAGTGGGAACAACTAAACAGATAAGTATTACTCCTGAAAATATGAAAAGAGAAAGGAAATTTCAGAACCACATTTAGTGAGAAAATATAAAAAGTCGAGATTATGTTTCTTCAACAGGATATTGTATTGTTACAACCTTAACTCGTGCCAGAAGTGGTGGTAAATTTTTTTTTTTCAATGACTTGACTTTGGCAATAGTTGCTAGGTGACAAATACTAATGCGTAGAGAAATCCATGAACAAAGTACTAGTACTTGTCTTGATTTTCAACAAATTCCAAAGAGTTAGCATCAGTCCAACCCTAGAATATCGGAATGGCCTGGTCTAAAAGTAGAAGGAAATGATAACTATGAATGTAGGCAACCTTATAGTTCAATAAAAGAATCTTCTAAAAATTGCACAAATGCATTGTCATGAATGTAACTAAAATATGAAATTATTTCCCATATTCGTGACATTCACTATTTACAATATGTAGAATGTAAATTTAAGGAATAGAGAAAGCATTTTTCATTAATAGTAAAGTCATACATATGAATTTTATCAAAAAAGTTCAAATTATTAAAGCTACAGTTTTAACAGATAAAATAATTTATGTGTATTAATATATAGACATAACTGTATTTCATAATCAACCATTTGCACTGTAATTACAATTTGTACATGCAACACTCCAGTCTCATAAAGTATTTTACATTTTTTCAACATAAGAGGCATATCCCTTGCCCATCCTTCCCATTACATTACATACATACATTCATTCTGAAAATCAATACACTTACATCATTTTCAATATTGCTTTTTTTTCTTGTACTATAAAAGGTTGGAGTTGCATCACTGAATAAAGTAGGAACAGCATACGGTTTAAGTTTTCGTAAGCCATCTGCACGATGTAACTCAAATTGCGATTCTTCAAAATGAACCTAATGAAAACACACCAAGGCACATTTAATAACTGATACATTTCATACCATACCACACTGAAATTTAGAAATGCAGAAAATATTATTGTTAAAAAATTATAGTTTAAACATTACAAACCAACAGATGGGCACTTCTAATTAACAGCAACATGGTCTACCTTGAAAATGATATAATACATTAATTATCGCAACCAAAAATTCTAGACAGCCACAAATCATTGCAACATATGGCTAAAACATTCATTGAAACTTTTCTTCCATCACCACATTTAGAACTCTTCAAAGCTTGCAAGGGAAGTAATTTTTACATAACCTAGATCACTACATCTACTCTGTGTACTGAAACAACACCAAAGGCCAAATTAGCATGGAAAGTAATAAAGAATGAAACTAAGCATTTAAACATGCAAACATCTGATCTATTAATCTGGCCTGCAATTAACTCTACTGAATCAAAACATAACCATGCACTATAAAAAAAAAACAGTAAATAATTCAAAGCATTTAATGGTGAGTCACAAGGAAATATTTTTTCTATTTTCATTCTTTGTTTCAATATAATGGGTTTAATTTGTCTCAAACTGTACAATAATGAGGGATTAAAATTTGTTTACCTCACAAATGCATGTATGTCGAGTGGGTTCCCAACCTTCTTCTCGGCCACAATTCTTGACCCACAGAGCACATCTCTCACTATCAGATGGGAAGTGGAAAAGTTTAAATCCTTTCTGAGTACTATTTGAACAACGGGGTACTGTGCAACCCGGCATTTTAAATATTTTCAAAGACCGGAATTTTAATCATCAGAAGGAAATAATAATCTTTAACACGATAGGAAATACGAAACTATCAAATCACGTTCGCATAAACATTTGAAAGAAAACAATACAAAGAAAAGGTAAAACAAAATGCATTTTCTGACTATGCATTTGTCCACTTCACACACTTTAATACACCTGATATGATAAATAACACGCCCGGCTGTCCATCTCGATCCACACACTTTTAATGCATTATCTTTACTTTTAACTGGTCGATGACTATCATCTTCCCATTGCAAGAAACGGAAACACCTGTAGCACACATTTCTCTTCTTCACACAATGCGAATAACACAACCATAATGAAGAGACGTCCACATTAAAATATGAAAGAATGATAGATTTAATTTCGGAAGTGTGATAAAATAATGCAATTTAATTTTTGAAAATGTTCACCAGAAATGTAAAACAAAATAGGCGCTCACATTCTCTACTTTACAAAATTTCATATGCCAATTTGCGAATCGAATACTGAACCAATAGAAGATAGTTTTCCAACAATATTAGGCCGAAATACTGAGAAAAATCTAATTTCATTGGTAAATGATTGTACAGAAGGTCACTATTGGTTGCCAATGATACAACTACAGAACTAATAATTTTTGTCGTATTTAAACACCGGGAACTTTACTATTAAGACCGCCAGGTTCGCTGTTGAGAACTAACCAATAGAAATTTAATGAGAATAAGTTACGTTATTCTTTTTTAAAATTAAATTGACCATTTAACTTCGAATTTCATTCCACATGTAACCTACTACTTATTTCCTTTTCTTTGAGTGTGACTCTTCTATTTAAAGGAAGTAAGAGGGTTACATAATAAAGTACCCACCAAATAACCTATTAATATCTGAAGCTTTTAAATGTATAGCAGGACAATGGCGGTTAACTTATAATTCACCAATCATTAATATTTAATATTTCATTACATTTTCCCCTTGTTACAACTGAAGACAGAAACAATGCGTTTTTTGTCCTAGACACAGAACAACAATGGAATACCAGTGATCTTGGCTGTGCGGGTGACGCCGCGTCGAAGGCTGAGTTGCCGACGTTTCGACCATCTTGTCGTGGTCTTCCTCAGGGCTGGTATGCATACGACGCACATGACTCCGGCCGCGGAAGCCTACGACTTCAATGGAATACCAGGTCTCCAAAAAAAGGAAACGAATTTGGTTTGCCACGGAGAAGTTGCACATTTCTGAAAATATGTTTAATTATGCGAAGATAACAGTTATTAATAATTAATTATCATTTTATATATTTATTGTACAATATATTATTATTATAATATATTAATTAATAATATAATATATTATTACAATATAATAATAATAATAATAATAATAATAATAATAATAATAATAATAATAATAATAATAATAATTCAGTTTAACATTGAATATTTATCGTTGAACTTTGGAGGTGTGAGTTGATTTAGAAGACGCTTCGGCTAGTGATATTTCACGCAGAGTGTAATATATAGTAATAACGCTAAGAGTAATATCATAATGTCGTGTTTTCAACACCTGGTCCTGAGCAGCTATTAGAACTGCTTCCGATTCTGACTCCATTCTTCCTCTTTTAAGCCACGTAAATGATTGATCTTTATTGATCTGCACCTTACCCATTCTTTTTAGATAATGTTCTTGTAGCGGTTACTCTCTCCACGATTTCTTTAAGTTGTTTTGTGTCTCACATTTCATGTTTACTCGTAGTAGCATTAGAAGTTCCGTGTCTGTTTTATTCTGCGTGTCTTGCATAGTTTTATCTGCAATGCTTCTTGCTACACTAACGATGCCACTTTTTGGTCAGATTCTTCGGTCAGCTTTCATGACCTGCCTCATTAGAGGGTCATCTTGATGACTGATTACATAGTCTCCCATCCCGATTATTGCATTGTCATGAGGCTTCAATTTATCTGAGGCCTCTTCCTGCTTCCTTACGTGACACACAAAGTCTATGTACATCAGGTCAAGGGTGGGCGTCATGATGCATTTCTGGATTTTTGATCAATGATTCGAATTTCTTGCCCAGTACAGTCCACGAGTCCGAAACTGTAAAAGGCACCGCGAAACTACTAATTGCAGATATTTTATTCTTGGAGTTCAGGCCGGATCGCAGGACGAGTCTCGCTCTTCTGTAATACTCCCTACGAATTCTCTCATTCATTGTGTCGTTCAAGATGGTCTCACATTCTTCAATGCCCAGACATTTGTAAGTTTTACCTGGCGTATGATCTTGAATCATAGTATGCTTATCAACTTCAATGCTTCTGAGGTTCACGTTGCTTCTCTTTAAATTGATTTTTGCACACTTGTCAAGATCAAACTACATGCAGATGTCATTGCTAGTCATTCACGACAGACAGCATTTGGAAAAGAATCGCTTCATTCTTAGCAAACACTTTCAGATCGTCCATGTAAAAGAAAACTGATACTGGTCTTTCATCCCCATTGAGCTTTTAACCAAAGTCAGCTTGTCTAGATAGTGGGATCAAACTAAAGTAAAACAGTAGAGGGAATAGCGAATGGAAAAAAAATCCTGTTGATCTGAATACGGTTTGTTTCTACTTCTTCCTTCCAATTGTTTATTAGTAACCTTATACTCCACGACTTCATATTATCCTTGCAACACTCAATACGTCTAGGATGAAATCTCCAGAGTCTTCAAACTCCAATCATGTGGTACACTGTCAAAGACCTTCCGGTAGTCAATTCAAGCCATGCTTAAATTATGCTTTGGTTGTTTGCATCATTCAAGATGACACTAAGATGCTTCTAAAGAAGCATGCTTCTAGATGCTTAAGATGCTTCTAAAGAAGCATGATTTCCTTGTTGCCATAAGTGCCGTTGCGACATCCTTTTTGTTCAACTGACAACAGATGGTTTCTCTGAAGGTGTCTGGACATTTTGTCAGCTTTGGTTGCAGTTATAACTTTGTACAGTTCTGGCAGACAAGTAATTTGCCTGTTGTTCCTCACCAAAGAGCTGTCTCTCGCTTTGTGTAGCAAATACATGATGCCGCGTGTGAGCCACTTTGGGAGTTCCTTTGGGTTTTCTACAATTTTATTAACGGTCTTTGCTAGATGAGAATGTATTGCTATTAATTTCTTAATATAATAATTCTGGATCTTATGAATCCAACGGGATTTCCAGTTTTACATGGACTTGATTGCTTGGAAGAGGTCCTCTTCGGAGAATTCGTTCCCACGTTCCACTGTTTTCACAATATCATCGGCTGCATCAACTTCAGATTGAAGCCAAGATGCGTCTATGTGGCAGGATCTGCTTTACTCCCAGATTCCTGCCCAAAATGCTTCGACGTCATCTTTTGAAGGAGTGTCATTCGGTTTTCGAGTCAGATTGCGATAGAATCTCTTGGCGACTGTTTAAAAAAAACGATTCTGCACACAGAAATCTATTCTACGTTTATAACGTCTAAGTCGTTGAGCTTATGCTTGTATTTCCTCTGTTAGCTTCTAAGCTATCGTTAGATGGTTGTATCATTTTCATTTGGTATTATTGTTCAATATTAAATATTTTTCGTTGAACTTTAGAGCGGTGCGTTGATTTAGAAGATGCCTGGGCTAAGAGTGATATTTCACGCCGAGTGTCAGCTATCCGTTTCATAATTCGTTTCGTCCATGAAGGTACAGGGCTGTTTTCTCTGCTCTGCTGTCGGCCGTCGGTGTTTCTGACTGGCACCAAAATATCCGAGATACTAGATATCGAGTTGCATACACAATGTGATTGATTTTAGTAATATCTAGATCTCTAGCTGAGGTCTGTACCACCTCATTTAAGACAGAGTTCACTGCCTCTTTCACTCTCTTAGCTTTGGCATTTTCGTATATTCTCCTCAATGGTGTACGCGACTGAAATGGATGTTGTCGAATTCTTTCTATCTCGTGTCGAAGGAGATTTGGCATCGTATCCTTATCGTGTGATTTATTGCCAGATGAATTTTCACCACAGACGTATGTTTCATTGGAAAGAGATGAACCATCAACAGCACCATCGTTTTCAAGTTCTACCATGTTCGTCGCGTGGGTAGTTCGACCGAAGAACGTACTCCGCATTTCTCTGAAGGTCAGCAAGTTGTTCTGCTATGAATTGTTCACTGCTGAGTATGTATCGTCGTTGACTGGCAAGCCTTTTCTAGGGTAGGTCTCATATCTGGGTTTCGCTCCCTCTATTCCTTGAAAATTTCTATTTCCGAGCCCTCATTTTTCGCTTTTGCATAGTATAAGCACCATATCACACCTTTCAATTCATCCCTTATCCGTCTCTGACGATTGCTTCGAGCTACTGCCGACTCTGGGTCCCTCGGACTAACATCCGTGGGACAGCCAAACGTCGACAAGGTGACATTAATTTAGTTTCTGAGCAGGTATGGGGCATTGGTAGAACAAGGCACGTTAAGACTGATTACATTTCTTGTTCTGTTCATTGTACTCATTAATTTTAATTGAAGTTCAAGTTCATAGATCACACTTAACCATGAGTTATCTCCTGTCATCCGTTACTGCAACCCAGAGTGACTTCTGGACATCCCCTCACAGGGCCCAGCAAGGGGTTCCTTCCATCACCAGCCGGCATTACTAAACCCTTCTTTTCATTGACTGCTGAAGGCCTCTCCTGTAGGTCATCTTTGGCTGTTGAGTTCCTCTTCAGGAGTTCTTTGTCTGGCCCTCCACATCAACCTGTCCGGCAAGGGAGGCCCTACCAGTAGCAATGCTACCGCCGGCATAACTCTCAAGGTCATTGGGGTAATCAAACTCCACCACCAACGTAAAGGTCATGTACTCCCGAGGTGGAGTAGTTGTTATTGTTATTATTGTTGTTGTTATTATTGTTATTATTATTATTGTTGTTATTATTGTTGTTGTTATTGTTATTATTGTTATTATTATTGTTGTTGTTATTATTGTTATTGTTGTTGTTATTGTTATTGTTGTTGTTATTGTTATTGTTATTGTTATTGTTATTGTTGTTGTTGTTGTTGCTATTGCTATTGCTATTGCTATTGCTATTGCTATTGCTATTGCTATTGCTATTGCTTTTGCTTTTGCTTTTGCTTTTGCTATTGTTATTGTTATTGTTATTGTTATTGTTATTGTTATTGTTATTGTTATTGTTATTG